GTTTAATGTGTAGTGGTCAACAAATACATTGGAGTTATTTGGATAAGTGTAAAGTAAACATAGGTGAATGCCTTTTTTGTTTGATTTGAAGTAAATTAATGTGGTGTAAAGTCCAAAGATGGTAACAGGTGGCGGTGGTGGTAGGTGGATGGCTTAGGGGATGGCAATGATAGTGGCCGAATGCGGCCGGTAGAGGGTGGTGAAGGCTGGCGGTTGTAGCCAACAATAGGTGGCGGTGTTCAAGCAATCTTGCTTGATGATTCTCGCTCAAACTGGGCTTGTTTAGTTTACTTCAAAAACGAACACACTATATTTACTTTACTTTGCATTCATTTTTCATAAACTAAACACCAATATTTTCAAAATCCTTATATTTGGAATACTTTACACCTACTTTACTTTCAACTAAACAACCTCTAAATAAAAAAATTTAAATTAAACATACGACCATGCATAGTTGGAAAGCTAAGACAAGGAGTCGATAGTTACTAGAAGTTACAATACTCTTTCAATTCACACTAATGCACTATAAAAGGAATGAATGCAATGCAAATAGAATGTAGTGTCAAAATAATACATTGGAGTTGTTTTGATGAGTGTAAAATAAACAGAACCTAATGCTTTTTTGTATGATTTAAAGGAAAATGAATGTGGTGTAAAGTCCTAAGATGGAGACAGGTGGCAGCGACGGCACTAGTGGTGGCAGGTGGGTGTCAGAGATGATAGCGGCAATAGTGGCCAGTGGAGGCCGGTGAAGGGTGGCAACGGCTAGGGGTCGTAGCCAACGACATGTGGCGGTGGACAAGCAATCTTGCTTGTGGTGTAAATGATTCTCACTCAAACTAGGCGAGTTTAGTTTACTTCAAAAATGAATACACTACATTTACTTTGCATTCTTTTTTCACCAACTAAACACTAATTTTTTCAAAACTCCTACATTTGGAATAATTTACATCCACTTTACTTTCAACCAAACAATCCCTAAATGAATAAATTCAAATTAAACATATGGCCATGCATAGTTGGCAAGCTACGATAAGGAGTGGATAGTTACTGGAAGTTACAATACTCTCTCACTTCACACTAGTGCACTATAAAAGGAATGCACTATAAAAAAATGCAATGTAAAAAGAATACAGTGTAAAAAGAATACATTAGAGTTGTTTTGATGAGTATAAAGTAAACACAAATGAATGCTTTTTTTGTTTGATTTGAAGTAAAATGAATGTGGTGTAAAATCCAAATATGGTGGCAGGCGGCGGCGGCAACACTAGTGGTGGCAGGTGGATGGTGGAGGCGACAACGGCGATAGTGGCCAGTGGCGGCCGGCAGAGGTTGGTGGCAAGAGACAGGTGGCGGCCGTCAAGCAATCTTGTTTGCGGAGTAAATGGTACTTGCTCAAACTGGGCAAGTTTAGTTTACTTCAAAAAAGAATGCACTACATTTACTTTACTTTGCATTCCTTTTCATCAACTAAACACCAATATTTTCAAAACCCTTATATTTGGAATACTTTACTTTCAATCAAACAGTTTCTAAATAAATAAATTCAAAGTAAACATATGGCCATGCATAGTTGGCAAGCTAAGACAAGGAGTGGGTAGTTACTATAAGTTATAGTACTCTCTCACTCCACACTAATGCGACCACTTCAGTCTCCTTTTTCATCCTCATAAGAAATTCAAATGTAATGAGTAAAACTATTTAAGCCTACTGAAATGAAGAGAAAAATGATTATTATTGTGTTTGCAAAGTTAGGAGTTTAACCCAAAAGTAGAAGGCTTGGTGGTAAGCCCTCATTTGAAGCGATTTGGTGATCTCTTCAACCTTACTACTTTGACGAGTAGTAAATGCATTGTATTTTTCATTTTTTTTTTTAATTCTTTTGTTCTAAAACTCTTGTATTGCCACCCCCTCACCATCCTACACTCATTTATTACCATTCTTTCAGCAAAATTTCATCATAAACTCTACTTGAAGCACTTGATCAACCTTGAACTGGATCTGACCTAGTTGGATTCTAGCCTCAATTTGACTCATCAAAACTCATTGAAAATTCATTAAATTTTCCATAATCATTCTCAAAACACTTCATTTCATCTCAAAGTATTTCAAGTCCAGGAGTTTCTAACATTGAAGCACTACAAATCTAAAGTACAGATATCAAATTTTAGCCATATTCTCAACACCTTTGCATATCACCTCCCATTTGCATAGAATATTAATACCACTCAATTCGAATCCCTCCCAAGACTTGCAGATCATTCCTAACACAATTTAGAAGCCTCCTAAGGCCAAATCAACAGCACAGCAAGGGCTAAATCATTGGTAGCCATACCAAAATATAATATTATATTTTATAAATTATTAATATTAAATATATAATTTAAAATATTTTTGTTAAATGCATCACCCTATGAAGTTTATTATCATATATATATATATATATATATATACCTCACAAAAGAAGGATAATAATAATAAGAAAAAAAAACAAAACTATTAGTAATTAAGGAAATATTCTTTCACATGTAACAATTATTATTTGTTAATAACACTCAAATATTAACAATCATTAATCATTGTGATAGGACTTGATGATCAAAATAGCACACAACAATATAAAAAATAGCAACTTACTCTAAATAGATCAAGAAATAACACAGTATTTTTTACTAATTTTCAAGCAAAGCAAGGCAAGATACAAGTTGATTCACTGTTCAAGAGGTGAATCGTCTCTCCCACAATTCCTAGCAGATACTAGGAACCCAAAACTTCACAAAAACTGTTGCAGAAATTCAAAACATAACATAAAAACCCCAACCTACCTTTATCTCCTCCCTTAAACAGCTCAAATCCCCCTAAAAAATACCTTTTACATCTAATAAATGCCCCTTACATCATTCTCAAAGAGTCCCCTCCTTTCCCAAAGAGTTTCCTCTCAAAGCCTCTTCTCCTATAGGTGATAAAAGAGGTCGTGGGCCCCACCTGGGTAGCTAGACTACTGCTGCCAGCTGCATCAATACTACCCTCCTAAAAAGGCACCTTGTCCTCAAGATGAAAAAAAGGAAATTGCTTTTGAATAGTACTGTAGGGCTCTCATATTCTGGTAAATCCTTCCACTTGATCAGCATCTCCTTAATCCCCTTATCTCCTTGGCACACCTCTTTCAACTCCAATGGTTCTAATATCACCTCCATATCCTCTGATAGTGTAGCCAGTGGTGCGGGCAAGGGTGTGTGGTTTCCAATGGCTCATCTTAGTTGTGATACATGAAATATGGGATGAATGGTTGAGGTCGGTGGCAATCATAAGTAATATGCTACTGAGCAAATGTGCTCCACAACCTTGTAGGGCCCAAAGTAGCGGGGCGAGAGCTTCTCATTCCTTCGTCGAGCCAAAGTCCTCTGTCTGTAAGGTCTGATATTCAAATAAACCATGTCCCCAACCTTAAATTACACATCTCTCCTATGTCCATCCGCCTGCTTCTTCATGATTTATTGTGCTCTCTATAGACGTTCCTTCAATTCTGCCAAAATCCAATCACTTTCTCCCAAATATTGCTCCACTTATGACACTAGTGTGTTGACCTGCCCATAATGTATTAGATGAAGTGATCCCTCCTACATATAATTTTAAATGGCGTTGTTTGGGCTGCTGCATGATATAAAGTGTTATACCAATATTCAACCTAAGCTAACCATTTGTCCCACATCTTTGGTGTATCTGATACAAAGCAATGAAGATAAGTCTCTATACTACGATTCACCATCTCCACCTGAACATCTGTCTGGGGGTGTTAAGCTATACTCTTCTTCAAGATAGTCCCCTGAATCTTGAATAACTCCATCCAGAAGTGGCTCAAAAAGACCTTATCTCGATTAGACACAATGGACTCAGGTATGCCATGCAAACGAACCACCTCTCTAATGAATGTAGCTGCCACTAACACCACGATGTAAGGGTGGCGCAAGGGAACGAAATAAGCATATTTGCTCAATCTGTCCACCACCACTAGAATCACAATAAGCCTGTTTGATCTAGGTAGTCCCTCAATGAAGTTTATAGTCACCTCTTCCCACACTTTCTCAAGAATGCTAATGGATGTAGAAGACCGCTTGGAGCCATAGCTAGATATTTGTGTCTCTAACACATCACAACTGGCCACCAACTCCTCTACTTCGTTCTGCATGCCCACCCATTATAGCTCTGATAGCAGTCTATAATGTCTTATGAACTCTTGAATGCCCCCCAATAATTGTACCATGAAACTCCTGCAATAAATGAGGGATTTGTGGCGATTTCCTCGAAAGCACAAACCTTCCCTGATATAACAGCATCTGACCCATCAAAGAACAACTAGCAATTAAAAAATCATAAGCTAAACAAAAATCTAATATGATCTTACCACATTCATTTGTTGTTCCAAAATCAAAACCACCATGAATGCTTTTAAAATCATCTACCTCTCTACCAACATGTCCATTTAAATCTCCTCCAATAAAAACTCTTTCTTCAAGAGATATATTTTGTATTAATTCTTCTAAGTCATTCCAAAAATTTAATTTAGAACTTATATCCAAACCTACTTGAGGAGCATAAGCACTTATAATATTAACAATCTTATCATCAACAACAATCTTTAAAGATATAATTCTTTCTCCAATCCTATTAATTTTTATAACATTATCTTTTAAACTCTTATCTATAATAACACCTACACCATTTCTAGTACGACTCCTACCCGAATACCAAAGTTTAACACTGCCGTTGCCAGGTCCCAAGTCCTGGATGAGAAAAGTGGAGGGTTGCATTAGGTAGTCGATAGCCAGCGTAAAACTTGTCGAACAATAATGACATGAATCTTTTAACTAAGAATAATAAACTCTTAAATATTATATTCACATCAAAAATTTTCCACTACACCTGTGCAACATCGAATCACTCATAAAAGAAATATACATTATTCTAAAAGTTGAAAAAGCGTTTTCCATACTAACCTCTAGTATCAAGATACCACAGCCTTCGCCTATCCTGCATTAAGAAAATGGCAGGTAAAAAATAAGATAAACAAAATCCAAGAAAAAAGCAATGTATTATAAAATGCCATACACAAATCCATCTCTACCACAATCAAAGGGTCGTGAAGCAACTTCAGGAAAAGAGTTGTATTTTGTAGCCAATGCTCTTGACCTGGAAAAGAACTTTTTAGGTTACAATATGGCATCCTTTTATATGCTGACACGCACAAAATAATATATTATACTATTAAAAAGAATGAATACTTCATGGCCATGTTCTATACAACAGAAAACTTATGGTTATCCACGGCATGCCCTACTCATGGCTAACTTCTTATTTTTTATAAATAATTAAGGTAGAAATCAAAAACTTTTCAAAATATCCAGTACAACAATGTTTACTTTCCTATGCCACGTAACAATATGATAAGAATTAAAGGGAATGGGATGTAATTCATTTCATCATTTGTATGGAATTTATACAAATCTAGGAGAATCTAGAAGGAAATATATAATATTTAGGGAACAAAAAGTAAACAGAATTTATTGCAATTAAGACAATCCATGGATTGGTTAATTGACAGAAATAGTCCAATGAACTAATAAGGTGTCATGGAGTGAATAAGGAAGATGGTGGAGGGCTGACTGCAATAGATGGAACAACTAGCGATCCGCAACTATGACAACAAGGAAGGTGGAGAGGCCGACGGGAGCGGGAACCCAACTAAGGCATGTGTCTAGGTGGGACTTGCACAAAGGTGGTGATCAAACAACCAGAGAGCGGATTGGAGGAGTCCAAGGGTGGATATGTGGACATTTGATTTTCTACAAAGCCCTCAAGCAAATAAATGGATGTTGACCATTAAAAGCTTACATTTCAATTTTTGAAAGATTACACCAAATAATCCTTTGGTGAGGTTGTTTACAAGTAATTTATATGAGGCAATAAATATAATATAAATTAGACTACTATCCAACATCTGCTTCATAAAATATCTATTAATTTTAATATATTTCATTCATTAATGTTGCACAAGATTTTGTGCAATATTAATGAATAAATTGTTGTACAATATAGTATCACTTGACCTTTTCATTCAACCGCTATATTCTCAAAGATAATTTTCAGATATAATAGTCCACATAATCCTATAACTATAAATCAAAGTTTAGCATCTGCACCAAAACTTTCCACAACAATTTATTTTTTGCTCTCTTAATTATAAGGTTACCTTCTAAAGATGTACAATATTCTAAAGTTGATCTCTTATAAACTATAAATCATGTAGAGTCGACATCTATGTAGGGTAAAGTGACAAATCCTATATCTTTTTGAAGAAAAATCTTTTTTCAAATATTATGATATTTGAAGCATAGATTTAAGGTGTAATTCTTTACTATTATGCATGAATTGACTTAACATACTAACAACACAAGCCAATTGTGGGCTCCGAAAATTCGGCCTCGGCCTCCACTCGCTTTTCTTATTCGGCGAGGGAGTTTTAACGAACTAAGTTCCGAGGTAAATTTTGGAAGGCAGATGGGTTTGTAGATAAGACACTACCCAGAGATTTCGCCCTCATTTTGCGAGGACTTTATGATCTGAGTTCTGGTTTCCTATAGGCGCAAGCCCCTATAGTTAATTACCCCTCCCGATCACGAGAGGGAACTTTCGATTAAGGCTAGTCGTCGATCAGATACGTAGAATATACGTGTTATCTGGCATATAGTAGCAGCATAGGTATGGAATGGTTGGAGATTTGGAAATTTGGAGGATTGATATTTGGGAATTTGAAGGTTTTGAAGATTTGGAAAATTGATATTTAAAACAGAAATTGCACCATCTTGAACTTAAAGCGGATGGTGGGGGAATGGATGATGGGCCCGATCAAGATCCCATGGTTCCGTCGTCCCGGGCCATCGTGGTCCCTGGTCTACTTAGTCAGAGGAGGTAGTCGACCCAACCTGACAGAAGGATCCTTGTCGGCAGCCATGGGTTGCTTCGTCCAAGGGAACCTTGTAGACCAGGGGTGAGTGTTTGTCTAAGGGGACAAATTTGAATCCACCTTAGCTAACAGAGGGCTTTGTACCCCATCAATTATATCCTATTGATTCATATCTCAAGGATTTAACGCCATTAGGGAGCGTATTGGCTCTGGCCATAACCGCTATCTGTGGTGCCATTTGGCGGCAAAACCACTCGGTTCAGAGGGCCCCGGGTCATAACCGTTTACCTGCAGTGCCATTTGGCGGCGAAACTGCCGGTTAGAGGACACGTACCACGTCCTTACTAGCAAGAGATTATTTGAGAATGGATCCTAGTGATATTTTCGACTAGGCATTAGCTCTTTGTGAGCTAGAGTTTATTTAAATTTGTCCGCCTCGACAAACTGTTGCGGAGGGCGGATGGATTTTACTTTAAGTGTGGATGGATAATTTCAATTTTTAAATATTTTTAGGATTTTTGGATTTTTTTGGAATTTTCTGGGATTTTGGGTTTTTGAGATTTTTTTGGGTGGAGCTTTGGATTTTGTGTGGACTTTTGGGAGATATTTGAAAATATTTGGAAACCCCTCCGGTTGAGATCTGCATTCAACACGGCCATCATCGGGGTGTTTGGGGTCATTTTTCTTTATGGACTGAACCTTGTCTACTCTGTCGGGCTGTCGACAGAGGATCGGGTCTCGTAGGCTTCGTGCCTTTATTAGTGAATTCATATTGTTGTAGGCCTTGATGGCCTAATATGAATGTTTTAAAGCAAATATACAGGTCGCCACAACTTTATATTTGCTTAATGGTTCGAACCCTGTCGACTTCTATTGACCCGTATAGAAGGATCGGTTTCGAACCTGAATTCACTTGTCAACCCGCGCAGCATCCCTAGACGTCACGTGTGTACCAATAACACGCTCGCCGGGGCCCATGCGGGTTTAGAATTGTATTTTACCCCTTTTTAGTGTACCTATGTGTATACAAACAACTGTGTACATGCAGGGGTACTTTGAAACAATTTATAAACGCCTTCTGCCCGCTTGCATGGATATTGTTGGTCTAGTGGCATGAGTTGTTTGCTACTTCGTATAGGTAGACTATCGTACATTACTTGCTATTTATAGATAGATTGTAGTGCACTAACTAATCTCCAGCTTTTGGTTGTATAGGATCATTGGAACTTGTATTCTTTATGTATTCTGCTGTAATTTTTGGTCTTTACAATACAGCCACTACTGCTGGAGGTAGATGTATTCATTCTTAAACTGAAGTTGACTACAGGATACTGCATTTACTGTAGTCTTTAT